AACCAGTGGCGTTCTAGGGATAGCTAGGGATTTTGGGGCCCGGGGGGGGGGGGGGTGGCACTTTGGGGATCACTGCATTTTGATATTCGACATTATTTAATGTAAAAAAAAATCGGACGCTTCTTTGGGGGCCCCCCTTAAGTAGGGGCCCGGGGGGAATTTCGAATTTGGACTCCCCCTCCCCTAGCTACGCCACTGACCTCAACACGTTTAAAAAATTACATTTAATTTTTTTTTAAATTGGTGATTTAGTAAGATTATATTTTTCTAAAACTAGTTTCTACTGGATTCTCATCTAAAAATAAAAAAAAAATTAAAGAAATAAAATGCTTACAAATAAGCATGGCATATTTTTTTTATTGATTTGATTTTAAAAGACAAAGGCGTTTGGGGAAATAAATAAATATAGATTAAATAAGGGGAAAAAAACCACTGTGATAAGCAAGAAACTGTGTTACACAAGGAACTCATTTAAAGAAAACACACTTTCGATTTAATAACAATTGATGAGATGTGCAGTATTTGCATGCGCCCGTTAGATGCACAGGGTTTGTGTTTGTATGACAAATAATTTGTCCATTTGATCTAGCTCAACGTGCACGGAATCAAGCACATTTAAATTATGCTCATAACTATATTTTAAAAAAAGTATGATCCCATCATACTATTTATAATTAACTCCTAACGCTACTTTAAATGTCATGTCTTTATGATCAAGTATAATTTTAAAATTATACACCATTATGTTGATGTAGACGTATTTTAATACAATGTTGTTGAAGTCTTTCAAATAGTGAGGTTGAAAAACATAAATAAATTGAAATACCGATACAATAAGTTAGCTTTCGACTTATATTATTTAATAGGGATCGGCAATTTTTTGGAACATTACGATATTTATAATGGAATCATATACTTGTATAACACGATTAGCTTTTGATACAGGGATCCTCAAATATATCGAGCGTTACGATATTTCATATGCTTGACTAATTGTAATCGGTTAAAAGGCAAGAGTAATTATTTTTTAAATGTTAAGAAAATTACAATTTAGTAGTTTATTATTATTATTTTTCGTTTTAGTGTTATAAAAATTTTTTCCCCTCAGAGTGGGTACTTCACCTTCTCATGCTCCCCAACCACGCCCACCCCCAGCCCCGGGGGGGGGGGGCCCCGGGTAAATGCCTAAATAAAACAATGCTTAGTGGGTCGCCCTTTAATTACATTAACAATTTTACAGCAATTTTTGACTCCCCCCCCCCCCTTTTTTTTTCCAACAACTGTCAATCTTTCGATGACCATCCTATTTCATTATTTCAACATTTTATAATCCCACCCCCTAACAAGAAAAATAAATTACAATATAATTAAATTTATAAATACGTTTGACTTTGTGCTGATGTATTTTAAATAACACAGCATTTTAGGAAAACCATTTTATTACATCTTTAGCTTGTTAATCAACAAGTTAAAAAATTTTTACACTTCAATTGTATAATGCAGAATCAATGAAAAGTTTGTTAAAAACTAAATAAAATTGTTTGTGAAAGTATGATTATTGTCAGTATAGCCGACAATTGTAATATAGTTTCTAGCCGCTGTTATCTTTCCACTTGGTAGCGAGGGGTTGCTCTATCGTAACAATGGGCATCAGGGACATCATTTGGGTAGGGGGCAAATGCCCCCTGCCCCCGATTTTGCTGGTTGTATTTAAATTGCTATGTACTCTGGCGCATCCAGTAATAAACAACTTAACAAGCCGACCAAGTTTTGGTTTTGCCCCCCCCCCCCTTTCCTTCTCCTGAAAAAAATCTGAAATGACGCCCCTGGCGGACACAGTCTATAGTAATTTTCATCTTGCGGAACTATTATACCTGACAAGTCAACATCATCCTTATCTAAATATTCAGCATTTAAAACAGAAGCATTGTCTGTGTGAGCAATAGTTGCCATAAGCTCTCTCTGTCTTTGAGTTGGTATAGTTGGTATTGAACACCGATGAGTTGGTGGGTTTTTTTTTAATTGAACACCATGTACAATGGTATGTTAATCATTCTAGGGAGCGGATTAAGAGAAAAATAACAGGTGAAGAGTTGCCAACTTTTGACTTCTCTTGCACTAACAAAGTGTGCTAACATTCTAACCAACCATCTGCAGTGCACTGACAGACACAATTAAATATCTCTTATATTGTTAAAAGCCTAAACATTTATGACTATTTACTTTAACATAATGAAAGAACCAGTCAATTTTAAGCTTAAAATTGTAATAGAAAAAACATGTTTGTTGACGTCAACTAATCTAACCCCCCCCTCCCCCCTTGTCATCAACTGTCAAACATTTCAAACCCCCCTCCCCCTATTTTTTTTGACATAATTAATGGACGCCCCCTAATGCGTTATCTGAGAATTACATTTTCATTGAATGACCAAGGCTGTGAAAGCGCCTCAAAGCAGCATGTTTTAATCTCGACGAAGCCATAGATCGGGTCAATATTTGAAGTTTTGATATGCACAGCTGAATGGGAATTCTTGGAATCCATCCTCATTCTCTCAGTAAGATAACAATTATTTCTCACTAATCAGTGTGTCTGTGGCTTCATTTAGGAGGAGCTTGTCAATACAGAAAATGTCATAGAAGTATTTGATATCTAACACGGAGCAATCCATGCTTTCTGGTCTTGCGATTTTGTCAAATGAATGTCACAGGGTGAATTTTTTAAATTTTATTTGAAGTGAATGACATGTTTGCATCTTTGTAGACCAGGAAAGTAACAGTTTAACTGTAAAATTAAATGTTCAAATAAAAAGTTATTTTGTATTCTATTGTTATAAACGCTGTTACCCAAGATTCTGTTTCCTGTTTATGTCTTTTTTAAAAATTTGAGTATTAAATTTAGTAACAAACTATCAGCAGTTCTGTACGATCTTGTTAATAATTTATCAGATCAGGTCCGGTTAGGGCAGTGTTTCTCAACCTTTCTAATGCTGCGACCCCTAAATACGTTTCCTTATATTGTAGTGACCCCATAACTATAAAATTGTTTTCGTTGCTACTGTATAAATATGTGTTTATTGAAAGGTGATGCACCAGCATGAACATTAGCCTTATAATTTATATGTTAACATTCAGGTTTTTATGTGTTATGTTGATTAAAAATATAACAATGCCATTTACTTCAACAACAAAACAAAAAGTCCGCCAATAAATCATTCATTTTAAATTGTCCAACCGTTAGTTGCCTTTGAAATTGTGGGAATTCCCTTTGTGAGCTATGCGTGACGTGGAATTTTGGTAAAGTTGTATTGCATCCCGGATACAGCCTGAACAGGATTGGCAAGGTCAGAAAACAATACTAGATTTAATTATTAAAATAGTCATTTTAATAATCAACTTAATTCATACTTATATTATTTTACATAAACACAAGTTAAAAGTTTGTAACCCACATAGCCTATTAAATAAGGGCTTTGTTGTAATAGGGGCCAAGCTTATAAAAAAAGTGAATCGCCAGAATACTTTGGAATTATAAATAAAAATTACGAATCGTACTGCGCATATCCAAAAAATGTGGAACAAAACTGGTTCTTAAATAAGGAATCTTTGGAAAATTGCAAACTACGTCACATTTTCTCTAAAAAATAAGTGCTTCCCTCAGCAGTGACGCAGCAGTGACGTAGCAGTTTTTGTGTTCCGGTAACTATGAAATTTATGCTACGTGTTTTCTTGTGTGTCTCAGTCAGGACTTTCATAACGACACGGTAAGCATATATCACATAAATACTTTTTTTGTGCTAGTTATTCCTTAAAAACAAAATTTAGTGCCATGAAAACTAAATTCACTGACAGTTTAAAAATATTTAAGTTATTAAAAATGACCAAGTCAATGAAAAGTTATTTTTCCCACTAGGCCAATGCCAGGGAGAAGTGGGGTGTGGAAGTGCAATCAAATCGAAAGTAAATTTGATTCCATCGAGATGTCGGACATGGCTATTATTACTGTCAATTATGAGATGATTCTTTTATTGTTAAATTCATAAATATCTAAATAATTCTAAAATCTTTACTTGGAATAGCATTTAGTCTGATGGGACCTGGGCACGCATGGCCGCTATTAGAATAAATGCTATTCGGATGTCTTTTGTGGTAGTCTTTTTGTCTTACAAACCCAACAATAATATTTTTAATATTTTTACTAAACCCCACCTCTCACCTGTGATACCGGGTCCAAATACACACAGCACAAACAAGTTTAGGATAAGGGCTGTTTGTTACTTTTGAAATCCTTTATAATAACTTCACTTTTGTTAGTGGGTGGGTTGCAGATAGGCTAGGTGGCATGCAAAATCTTCGGAGGGTTAACGGACCCACTTCCCGTCAAGGTATTGAGCTGAAACTTGGCAAATCGATTCATTGCCGATGACAACACGTGAAATTGTATCAAATTTTCAGCCGCCCCTCCCCCCTCAACCTACACAAATCTGTTTTCCTGTTTTTCAAGGGAGAACATGAAGGAACATTCCCGATAATTGTGGTATTTGAGATTCTTTAAAAAAAAAAAATTATCGTGATTTCTTTTGGTGCGTAATATTTTTGTTGGCTTTTCTAAAATAGTTGGTGAAATAAATCTGCGTTATAAAAGACCGTGGATCATGAAATGTTCAGGGGCGTGACAAAAATGTGCGGTTGCCAGCCTAGGGGGAGGGGGTAGCACTAATTTGGATTCTCATAGAGTGCGGTTCTTGTATGCATGCTTTGTCAAATTTTCAGTTGATATTACATTTTGTAAAGGATTTATATAACAACATTGTTTTAAAGGGTTGTTATGTCTAGGCTTCTTTCAGGCACAAGATAAAATTTTAATTTTCTTTTGAAGATCTCTATGGAACGCCTTCCACTTCCATCGACAGTAAGAAACGTTTGGATGTAGATGGCAAAGAGAAAATTGATAGAGGCGACATTTTGGGATTCATCAACAAGAACAAGAGGATTAAAGACCAGTCTAAGTAGACAAGGACAAGCAGAATATCCCTATTACCTTTAAAAATTTAATCACTTACCGGTAATGGTATTCTTGTATTAGATCTCATGGGTTAATTGAGTAATTTTTATTAATAAATTGATGCATTTCATTTTATATTATCAAGACTTACATACCTTTTATAAATATAAATATTGATTTAAAATAAAGCCTAATCAAAGATATAATTAAAATACAATAAAAAGTTTTTTTTCCTCTTTACAAATAATAATTTTTCCAATTTTTTCTCCTCATAATTGTTTTAAAACAAAAACTCCAATAAAATTATATAAAAAAAAGTCTTGATCTACTTTAAAATTTTTGTTGCTCTTAGAAAAGTTTAGAAAAAAATCTTAACTCCACTTCTATAAAAGATAGAAGAATAAGATTATATTTATAGTTTATATACAATATTATTAATCAGTTGATAATAAATATAACCTTATAGATAATGATTTGGCTTACTTTACTATATTATAATGTAACAGTTTGGGAGTGTGCAGAGAAATTTATAAAAATTATAACATGATCTATTAAATTACATTAACTATTATGTTAAATTTATTAGAGAAATAGTTTAGTCGGCTATAAACTTCTCATCGCTTAAATAGTGAAGAACACCAAAAAAGTCATTAAAATGATAAGTTTTATGACTTTGAAAAAATGAAAATATCTTCAAATAATTCCTAGGAGACTTCTTGCTTTCCTGATATTTTGCTGTGGGTTAATTGACTACGAAATCGACCAAAGCACCACTCTCTTACCCCGGTTGAGATATTTCCTCTCAGTTTTCATTCACCCTGTTACGCACTGGCTTCTAATATGAGAAATTAATCTCCTATTTTAATTTTATTGGCTCGTTGTAAACAGTGCCTAACAAAGGACGATACCATAGAGTCAACAATAGTAAAGATACGACACTCAAAACAGTTGCCAGTTACAATTAATAAGATTTATTATGTCTTAAGATAATTACAAAAGAAAAGAAAATATAATGACGTTCTTCAACTTACAGTATGGTAGATCTTTTACCGGTACACAGTTAATACAGTTAGAATAATGTGCCAATGAATAATGATGAATGCGAAATGAACACATATGAGCACACAAAGAATAATACAATTGTCTCGTAAAGTAAAAAAAAAAATGTCTGAATCTCTCCCTCTCTCCGTGCCTGTCAATCCCTTTATATATGCAGCGTAAGCCCTGCCTTCCAGAAGCTACTCAGCATTTCTTTACATTTCTAGAACAAATCGCGAATGTTCGACAAGATACTAGCAGACATACTAACCATATTTAATTGGTCGTCGGTAATAAACACGATACATCAAAGAGATAAGCTACGCCCATCTATAAACGTAGCATGTGCTAGGAATCTAATTTGGGTCAAGCAAAGTTCACGCACGGGGAAAAAGTGTCACACAACAATTGTTTAGCTAAACTATTTATTGTTGAGAAAAACTATTTATATATTGTTGAGAAAAACTATTTTATTGATTGTTGAGATAAACTATTTATTTATTGTTGAGATAAACTATTTATTTATTGCTCTGCAGTATTTTTAAAAATATTTTAAAAAAATATTTAATCATACTTTAATTTTATGTGGACAAGCAATACAATGTTAACATTTTAATAAATGGTTTTGCTACATAACAATATATTAATTTAGATATTGTATTTTGATATTAAGCAATTAATCTTGTTGATTTTTATATTTAAAGATACATTAGTTTAGTAATTTTTTTATATTTAACGATATATTAATTTAAGTAATTTGCTTTGATATTTATCAAATCATTAAATGTAACAAATTTGCTTTGATACTTAAAATGGCCTTTACAAAAGTTGTTCATGATCTATTCAGAGTTGAGTATGATGAGCTAACGACTAACACGTACTACATTCATGCATTCTGACCTGGGTAATGTACTCAACCGCCTAAGGGGTCATGAAGGCGCCTCCACAGGTCTGTGTCATTAAACACTGAGATTTTCAAAATATGAAATAAAGTTGACGGCCAGGGATGTCAATAAACGAGTCAATTTCTTAACATTACCGATAAGAAGAATTCTCTTTTAAAAGCCACCTTTGGGTGTCAAATGTTAACCTTCTGAAGGAAATACAGAATAAAGTGAATCTAAATATTACCCAGCCGAACTGAATTAATCTTGAGTAATTTATGGTCAAGTTAAAATTAAAATAAGATACTTTTTAAGGATTTGGTGTTAAAAAAAGGAAAATATCGTTTCTAAATTGTTGAATAATTGTCTCTCAGATTTTCATGTCGGAGACACAACAAAGGAACATGCTTTGAACACAAACTTGGGAAAATTAAGATGGAAGAATTGTGAGACAAATCCAGGTCACAAGGACTTTATACCTGTCAAAGAATTTGGACTTAATCATCTTCCAGAAGGACATAGAAACGAGACAATTCTGAAAAGAATTAAATGCTTAGCTGATTTGACTTGTCGTTTAACGGTCTGCAAAAAGAGCAGCAACAGACCAAAAGACAACACACTCTTTTGTGACGTTGGAGAGCAGCGAATGGCCACGGGGACTGTGATTGAAATCGTAAAAACCAAATTAGCGAAAACTAAACAGTGCGAACACTGTAGAGGATCACACACATTTTCAAAAGGGTTTCATGTAATTAGAATTATGACCGCCTGCCATGTCGTGTTTGACTGTGAAGAAGCAGAAAACACAACAATAGATTTATTTTATGACGATGAAATTGACACTGAAGGCATACAGAGATTGGAAGGGTTTCGGGTGAAGTCGAGGAATATTGATTTAGACCAGTGTGTTTTTGAATGCACCACAAAGGACGTTAAGTTAGTAAATTTATTGGAAGAAAAATTAATAACATTTAACAATTTAACAAAAAGTAGTCCATCCGCTGGTACTGTTCCGTGCGAGATCATTGCTTCACACCCACACGGCCTATCGAAGCACATCAGTGTTGGTGTGTCAAAGCACATCAATGTTGGTGTGTCAAAGGATAAACATGACCTAACACTAACAGGAAATTCTGGGCATTTTCATAGGAAATTTCCAATGAAGTGTTATGAAGACAAGGTCGAGATTTCTTTATTCCTATCCACGGATTCGATCATTGTCTCAAATAAACCAGGTGAGTGACAGATAATTTCTATTCCAAGGGTTCTCAAACTACACCAGGTATCCTTAAAGTGGCCCAGTAATGGACACATTTGGAGCCTGGCATTGACTATCCATTTAGCCAACAGACCAATAATTTCCATTTAAATAAGGATAAGATATTGATTGAAATTGTTCTTCATTAAAAGTATTTGTTTTCTTTTTCTTTTGAACAGTCAATAAGAAATTTACATCGACCATAATAATTAGTTGATTATATTATATTATTTCAAGCAATATTCCGGTCCGCAGCAGTTGCTAAGTAGAACCCCCCCCCCCCAACAACTTTTAAAAAAATTAGAGGATCCCTGGTATTCATTTACACTCATCCTATTCCATGGTATTGTTCTTCAATGATTAAACGATACTTTCCTAGTTTCCTACTTAACTTTATCATTTTGCAAAATGCCATGTTGCTTTAATAAAATCATCACGTATGTCATCTGACATTTCTGGATCTTCGTCTTCCACCCCACAGTTTCAGAATTTGCTGGCATCCAGTGCGATGTGTTTTTTCCTGATTCAACCACTCAGAAGTGTCATTTATGGAAGTGGGACGAGGAAGTTCGCAGTGTAAGATTAAAATGTTTAATCCTTTACACGAAGCTAACATTCCCAATATATGCGAATATTTTGTCATACTTTACATTGTATAAAAAAAGACACACACAGTCCCACACACAAAGTCAGACACAGACAGACACACACAGATACACAGGCATACACACACAGACAGGCACACAGAGACATCACAAACAGACACATATTAATATAATTGCATTTTCTGATTCATCTACTCAAATGACAATTGTTATGAACGTTGCAGACCAAGGCTTTCCTCATAGGTGAAGCAGGGATACACGAAGATCCAAACAATTTCTACCTTGAGTTGATGCTGCCCAATGAAGCAAGCCAAATCATGAGGGATGACAACTATCTAGAATATTACAAAGACGATGTAACTAGCGCTTTTTGCATTTATGTAAAAAGATTAGATTAATTTTCAAATAACTCGATTAATTTTATTTAGTTTCCTTAAAATAAATACAGAGGCGTCGCTAGTGTTGGGGCCGCCGAAGAGGTAAAATTATTGGTTCACACCCTTCCATTTTTCCCCGGCCGTCCCCCGCCCTGCACCGAGTTATTCTTAACCAGATCTTACATCGTTCATAGTGTTGTTCTTAAGTTTAGTTCTTCTTCTTCTTCTTTATTTAAAGGGCCCACGATCAATGAATTGATCATTCTGGCTCCTATGTTTCAGAGGGGTTTGCGATGTTACTGTCCATGGGTTTCAATGGGATACTTCACTGGTTGCAAGGGCGACTCAGCAGTGGTGTTATGAACTGGGGGTTGGAATACAGGAGGCAATAGACACAAATGTATCGAGTGTAGCCGCCTCAACTGTTGCTTTTGGAAGCTTGTTCCAGTCCCCTATTGTCTTCGGCAGGAATGAGGAGCTTCTGTACTTCGTTCTTGTTTTTACCAGCCGGAACTGTTTGTCGTGACTTCGTCGCAGTCTGGGGGGAAGATGAACGAGTTTCTGTTTGATTCCGGAGCAGTGCACCAGCCCATTTGTTATCTTGTACAACATGGTGAGCCTGGATAGTCGTCGTCGTTCTTCCAATGTCGACCAGCCCAGTGTTTCCAGCATGCTGCCAACACTCGAGGTGCTTCTGTAGCGGTTCATGACAAAGCGTGCTGCCCGTCGCTGGACCGCCTCCAACCTGTCGATGCTTTTCTGGGTAAATGGGTCCCAGACTGTAGAAGCATACTCTAAAATAGGTCGGACAAAGGCTTTATAGGCTTTTTCTTTCACGCTTGAGTTGCCGATCTTCAGATTGCGCCTTAGGAACCCCAGGGTCTTGTTTGCCCGGTTGCACACACTGTTAATGTGCTCGTCCCAGCGGACCTCTCTTTGGATGGTAACACCCAAGTACTTAACGGAGGAAACTGGCTCAAGAATATGGCCATGCAGTTCGTAAGAGTGGTTTAGAGGGAACCTGCTTCTGGAGACTGACAGGGTCTGGCACTTGACGGGATGAAATTCCATGTCCCAGCTCATCTCCCACTCAGCTAACCGATTGAGGTCTTGTTGAAGCTGGCTCTGGTCAGAGCTGTTGACCATTGTCCTATATACCGCCGTGTCGTCTGCGAAAAGTCTTGCTTGAGAGGTCAGCTTCTCGGGCAGATCATTGATATATGCTAGGAACAAACAAGGGCCTAGCACTGAGCCCTGGGGGACCCCTGACTTAACACCGACAAAGGAGGAGGTTTTGCCATCTACCACTACTGCCTGGCATCGGTCGCTGAGGAAGCTAGAGATCCATGTTTTGGTAGTGCCTTGGATCCCATATCTATGCAGTTTGTGCAATAGCAAGCTATGGTTGACACGGTCAAACGCTTTTGAAAAGTCCAGCACAAGCACATCAGTCTGCTTGCTGTTCTCCAAGTTGGTCGTCAACTCTTCAGCAAATTCAAGGAGTTGGGTCTCGCATGATCTGTTGACTCGAAAGCCATGCTGACAGTCATTGAGTATATTATTTCTCTCCAGGTAAGAGTTAGTTCATAAGTAACAGAAGACATAAGCAACTAAAAACATAAGTAACAGAAGACATAAGCAACTGAAGACATAAGCAACTGAAGACATAAGCAACTGAAGACATAAGCAACTGAAGACATAAGCAACTGAAGGCATAAGCAACTGAAGACATAAGCAACTGAAGACATAAGCAACTGAAGACATAAGCAACTGAAGGCATAAGCAACTGAAGGCATAAGCAACTGAAGGCATAAGCAACTGAAGACATAAACAACAGAAGACATAAGCAACTGAAGACATACGCAACTGAAGACATACGCAACTGAAGACATAAGCAACAGAAGACATAAGCAACAGAAGACATAAGCAACTGAAGACATAAGCAACAGAAGACATAAGCAAAAGAAGACATAAGCAACTGAAGACATAAGCAACAGAAGACATAAGCAAAAGAAGACATAAGCAACAGAAAACATAAGCAACAGAAGACATAAGCAACAGAAGACATAAGCAACAGAAGACACAAGCAACAGAAGACATAAGCAACTGAAGACATAAGCAACAGAAGACATAAGCAACTGAAGACATAAGCAACTGAAGACATAAGCAAAAGAAGACATAAGCAACAGAAAACATAAGCAACAGAAGACATAAGCAACAGAAGACATAAGCAAAAGAAGACATAAGCAACTGAAGACATAAGCAACAGAAGACATAAGCAAAAGAAGACATAAGCAACAGAAAACATAAGCAACAGAAGACATAAGCAACAGAAGACATAAGCAACAGAAGACACAAGCAACAGAAGACATAAGCAACTGAAGACATAAGCAACAGAAGACATAAGCAACTGAAGACATAAGCAACTGAAGACATAAGCAAAAGAAGACATAAGCAACAGAAAACATAAGCAACAGAAGACATAAGCAACAGAAGACATAAGCAAAAGAAGACATAAGCAACTGAAGACATAAGCAACAGAAGACATAAGCAAAAGAAGACATAAGCAACAGAAAACATAAGCAACAGAAGACATAAGCAACAGAAGACGTAAGCAAAAGAAGACATAAGCAACAGAAAACATAAGCAACAGAAGACATAAGCAACAGAAAACATAAGCAACAGAAGACATAAGCAACAGAAGACGTAAGCAAAAGAAGACATAAGCAACAGAAAACATAAGCAAAAGAAGACATAAGCAACAGAAGACATAAGCAACAGAAAACATAAGCAACAGAAGACATAAGCAACAGAAGACATAAGCAACAGAAGACATAAGCAACAGAAGACATAAGCAACAGAAGACATAAGCAACAGAAGACATAAGCAACAGAAGACATAAGCAACAGAAGACATAAGCAACAGAAGACATAAGCAACAGAAGACATAAGCAACAGAAGACATAAGCAACAGAAGACATAAGCAACAGAAGACATAAGCAACAGAAGACATAAGCAACAGAAGACATAAGCAACAGAAGACATAAGCAACAGAAGACATAAGCAACAGAAGACATAAGCAACAGAAGACATAAGCAACAGAAGACATAAGCAACAGAAGACATAAGCAACAGAAGACATAAGCAACAGAAGACATAAGCAACAGAAGACATAAGCAACAGAAGACATAAGCAACAGAAGACATAAGCAACAGAAGACATAAGCAACAGAAGACATAAGCAACAGAAGACATAAGCAACAGAAGACATAAGCAACAGAAGACATAAGCAACAGAAGACATAAGCAACAGAAGACATAAGCAACAGAAGACATAAGCAACAGAAGACATAAGCAACAGAAGACATAAGCAACAGAAGACATAAGCAACAGAAGACATAAGCAACAGAAGACATAAGCAACAGAAGACATAAGCAACAGAAGACATAAGCAACAGAAGACATAAGCAACAGAAGACATAAGCAACAGAAGACATAAGCAACTGAAGACATAAGCAACAGAAAACATAAGCAACAGAAAACATAAGCAACAGAAGACATCAGCAACTGAAGACATAAGCAACAGAAGACATAAGCAACTGAAGACATAAGCAACAGAAAACATAAGCAACAGAAAACATCAGCAACAGAAGACATAAGCAACTGAAGACATAAGCAACTGAAGACATAAGCAACAGAAAACATAAGCAACAGAAAACATAAGCAACAGAAGACATCAGCAACTGAAGACATAAGCAACAGAAGACATAAGCAACTGAAGACATAAGCAACAGAAAACATCAGCAACAGAAGACATCAGCAACAGAAGACATAAGCAACAGAAGACATAAGCAACTGAAGACATCAGCAACTGAAGACATAAGCAACAGAAGACAAAAGAAATCAACGAGTTTGAGTTCACAGCATTCAAATAATTTTTTAAAATACGCTTTATTCAAAACTTGAAATTTGACAGCTCAGCTCGAGCTTGACTATCCTGATACTAGAGCTTGACTATCCTGATACTAGAGCTTGACTATCCTGATACTAGAGCTTGACTATCCTGATAGAAACATGTCAATCACTTCATCAAAATCAACATTCTTCACCTTATCACTTTCAATGACAAAATTAAAATACCAGAAAACCTCAACTGTTTCATGGTAGATCGAAAATAGTTATTTATACGTTTCAGTTTTGAAGAGCTCCTTTCAGATACACACAAATCTTGAAAAAGCTGGGGGGGGGGGATGACGACTAAGGGGAGGATTGGGAGGGGGGGATTGGGGGAGATTCCAGGACGTTCTAATCAGCTATGAATGACAAAACGGCCAATATTCAACATTATTTGGAGCTAAGAATGACAACGATTAATAGACCCAAAGCATCGCCCTTTTGCTGTCGCAAGCAGTGTGTTGTTCTAACACCAATTTGCCTTTTTTGTCCCATTCAATAACTCAAGAATTTAGAAGTGTTTTTAATTGATGTGTTTAATTAAGTTAAACTATTAAATCTTTGCACCGACTTACTACTATCAATCGGTTAAAAGTTTAAATTCTATAGACACAGCAGTTATTTTTTATCTTGGTCATCACCGCCTTACCCTAACTCACATCTCGGGCCATTAATTTATTTGGCCTTATCTTAAGGCCCATGTGTCTGGACATTATGGAACATTTAATAATAATTTTAATTAAAAAATCTTCGGAACTTGTCTCCAATGTTTTTGTTTTTTATCTATTAAATTTTAGAACAGCTGATCTCAACATATGGGTCACGACCCCTTTGGGGGTCGAGCGACATTTTTAGAGGGATCACCAAGACCATTTGAAAGAACATATACTCTACAGTTATGAAGTATCAACGAAAATAATTTTGTGGTTGGGGATCGCAACAACATGAGGGACTGTATTAAGGGTCGCTGCTTTATGACGGTTGAGAACCATTGTTATAGAAGATAAGCCAACTTCATATGCCTACCGATCGTGTATCCAAATATTTCAATGCTAAAAAACTGGATGTTTAATGTAATTTAAATTTAAAAAAAAACGATTCGGTTTATGCGAAACGTATTAGTTTTGTTTCCAAATTTTTAATTATAATTTTTATATATTTTTCATTCGATTTAAATTTTTGTTTTATGATTAAAAAAAAAAAAAAATTATAATTATGTACAGTCAACCTATCTACTGGCAAAATTACCTAAGTGTTAACTAAAAAAAGTTAAATCCTGTACTGAAATAACATATTTACATAAAGTTACTGAAATTCTAATAAAATAGTGTTTACTATGTTAAACTTATGTTTCTAGTAAAACTTATTTTACAAGATTTATAAATGAATTGGAATGATAAAAAAATGTATAAATGTATTACTCGGTCATTATATTTTCTTAAATTATGTTTTGAATTATGTATTGTATTTTAAATCTAAAAAGTGTTTCTAATGTATAATTATGTTTGTGAAAAAATGCATTAAGACTATGGTGCCATACATGTTTTCTGTATTGTGAAAGTAATAGACCTATTGTGTGTTATTTGTTCTTTTAGGATTCTGGTATTGTGTTTAGTGTTATATTTCTACTGTGTGAATTGTTCCTCTTTATTTGATTTGTTTAAGTGTAGCTTTAACCTGTAAGATTGGCTTATAATTGTTACACGTATCAAAAATATATAAGAAAATAAAGGTAATAAAATATGTTTATAGCATAAAATAAAGTTTATAGTAGTGTTATATAGAGTTTGTTTACATAATTTTTCTCTGGCGTAAACTCTGATTGACCCCGCATGAGACGCTGTCTTCACAGATGGGAGTGGCTTAGTCTTTTGATCTGTCATGTTGATGCCGACAGCCACTAAAAATAATTAATCCGTTCCAAATAGTATTTTGTAGAATGATTGTGATTGTTCTAGAAACGTCATAAGTCTTTCTGGAAGGCAGGGCTTACGCGACCTATATGATGTAAGCAGAACTTAAATCATAAATGAACTTAGCATCACCTGTTTTTAGCCAATTAGATTTTTAAAAAAATAAAAAAAGCTTCAAGAATGCCCTTGCTCCCTTCCCATGCCCTGGTAATTAAGATCATCACAGAGTCAAAGTTCTTTGCTACCTTTTAAGATTCTGTCCAATGATTTTCTTACATGCTTTAATATGTACATTCTATACATAAAATTACATAATCTAAAAAAAAAATTAAAAAAACCCCCACACATTCCCATACGCTGATAGAATGTCGGAAAAAAGTTGAAGCTGCAATTAAGAAGGGAGTGCATTAAAATGCTGCATTTACTTCCGTTACTCTGCAGTTTGAAATATACAACAAAACGGTAGCGCTGGTTTCTCTCGAACCCAAAACTATTAGTACGTCATTAACAATCGCATATTAATGGGAACAATAACAGTAGGCAAATGATTTTAGTAAGTTCTTTTAAAAAGAAATGCTCAAGAAGCCAGCGTTCATGTATCAGAATGTTCGTCCTCAGTGAAACTGATACAATGTTAATTATGTCTCTTGGTGTTTCTCACCCCCAGCCTCCATCTATAAACAAAAAATTATACTTTAATTTGGTATTTAAGTTTCAGAGGACGCAATGACGAAAAGTCAAGATCATGCAGATTATACATATTTTAAAACCAGTGGCGTTGCTTGGATGTGTGGCAGGGGGGGGGGTGGAGGCGGCAAGATTTTTGCTAACGCGTTAAACACCTTTGAAATTAACCAAAAATAATATAAAGTGTGCCAAATGAAATTTTTTCTCGTTTAAAACTAATTAAACAGGTCACTCGTCCTGCTGCATATTCCCTTAAAAAATTAAGTAATTAAAAATGACACAAAAATCTCTGATTTTTTTTTTTTTTTAGACAATTAAAAATATTTTTCAAAGACAAATTCGTACTATTGTTTTAAGAGACTATTGCAGCAGTGAAGTTAGATTTTAATAGACTGCAATTTAGGGGGAGGGTTGGTCATGTTATTCGGGGATGGGGGTGATTTGAAAAGAGTGCTAAATAATTTCTATTAAAATTACATGTGTACATAATATTTTGAATACTTGCAGAAAATATGTTCGATGAAACGTCACATTAAGGATTTTTTCGTGCTTTGTGATTGCCTGTTTGCGAGATTATTTGTGTAGCTGTTGCTATAAGCTGGGATTTTGTGACGCATTTGGGTAAGGGGAAATGACGTGTTATTTGTTATTGAGGAAAGCACTGATGGAGTGATTATGTCATGGAGTGTTAGTAATAGAGTTATTTATTTAATAAAGAGACATTTTTTGTCTAATCAAATGATTTGTTAAGCATATGATTTACGCCCTCGACAACACAGCTTTTGAACTGTGATAATATTGAGATTGTAACACCTTGCAGGAATAAAAATATTTAATATATATTTAGGTAACAATAATAATTAAAAAAGGTAATACATTAAAAACAGATTATGTTTGTATCTATTTATAGAACTGTTCTATATGTTTGGAAATATTAATTAGTCATGATACATTGTATTATATATTTTTTTTAAACAAGAAAAAAAAAAAAAAAAAAAAAAAAAAAAAAAAAAAAAAAAAAAAAAAAAAAAAAAAAAAAAAAAAAAAAAAAAAAGAATAAATATGGAAAGCTAGATGTCATATAACATCTTGGGTAAATTAAACACGTCACCATTGTCATGAGAACACAAAAATAACTATTTTTAGCCGGCATTTTATGGGAAATCCCTGTTTTATTTGTAACCTGCGTTGAAAAATCAAATTAAGCAAACGTTATAAAAGTTTGCTAAGCAAATACCAACTTAAGCATAAATCACATTCTTTTTAAAAGACAGAGTTAAGACAACAGGAGAAGAAACTGTAGCAGGTATGAAATACATGTCGGATGTAGGAAATAGGATGTGTAAATTCTTACGTGGATGACAAAAGAGTTAACTCCTATGGTATTACATTTGTGAAAAAATAAGATGTTACATTCTCTTTTTGCAAATATTGGTATGTTCATTTTGCCCAAGGCAATACTAGATACGTCCTAAAATAACGGAATTAATTTGATCAATAATTAACCTTCATGGGTACATACATATCGGAGATAGGAAAAAAGGATGTGCACATTTTTACGTGGATGACAATATATTTAATCCTGTGGTATTACATTTGTGAAAAAATAGATCTTTAATTCTCTTTTTACAACTAAACATATGTTTACCAATTAAGAAAATCAATGGCGTTAAAAAATCGTGGGTACATTTATATAAGAATATCCATGAATATCAAAACCCAATCATTTTACACAATTGAAAATTAAATTTTGACAAATGAAGATGGGGTAATATTTTCTTTTTTTTTTTTAAATGAAAAAATATTTGTGTTGTTTCTTTGCAAAAAATTAAAGAGGTCTGTATTTTTATAAGATTAACAATTAAATTTTATTTTTAAAGACAGTCAAATCTGATATAGGCGTGAAAAACAGTTGAGAGAGTCTTCTTAGATAAAGGAATTCTTTGTTTTAAGATTTTCTGATAATGTATACTTTTTATAAAAAGGCAAAAATATGTTAAAATTTTTGCTGAAGATATCAATATATATCGAATTCCAGTAATACAAAATATATTTATATCATATATAGAGTTTTTCTTGTAAATTTAAGATAAGGTTTTTCAAAAATTTTGAGAGAAAACAGTTGTTATTCAATGACACGGAAAGGGGTAAATCTAAAGTATTTCTCTAGCGTTGTAATTGTCCCTCAATTAACTTCTTCAGTGACAATGTGAAATAATTAGTGATAATTTAGACTGGGTAATTTAAGGTCATGTGTAGAGGGGGGAAAGTCGTTTAGGAGCATGAAAGGGAGTAAGGTACGCGTAAAATATAGAGCAGATAAACACTTCTTAAAACTTAATGATGTTAGAAACATAAATATCATTACATTTTAAAAGTTATGAATTGGGATTAGCTTTTGCAATAGCAAATACACATTATTGCAAAGGACCTAACATTATTATCCTTATAACATGGGATCATTTATTCTAGTATATATATATATACATATATATATACATATATATATACATATATATATATATGACGTCAATTTATTTTGATTGGGCAATAACCTCGTTAACAATTTTCAACTTTCCGAAACGTGACACCCCATCACCCACTATTTTGTTGACGTAATTAATGGGTGGCTCCTAGAAGCTTTCAAAGCCATGTCGATAATTTTATCTTTACATATTCAAGGTCATCTCAATGAAAGTTGATATTGTTCTCTCATGATCTTAAGCTGTTACGTAAATTAATTTCACCTTCGTGAAAGCAAGGCAGCCATTTCAGTAGTACAACTTTGTGAAATTCACTTTTGCCTTTTGGAATTTGAGGGGTTAGAGAGTAAACTCATTATCCTCATTGTATTTTTTTTATTAAAAAAATACGAAGGAGTACTCTTCATTTACGTAAAGAAAGAAATTAAATTTAAAAAAAAGTAATTTACACGTATTTTAAATTTAATCTGTGAAAACGCCAATGTTATTGATTTAAACTAAATGAAATATACTTATATTTTTTTTCAGATGGCACATGTAGGTAGTTTTGGTAAGTTAAAAATATTACATAAATTAAATATAATATTCAATTTATTTCTTGGTTCTTGCAATAAAGTGAAAGATGAGAGAGGGGGTGGGGCTTGCGTAGCTAAGGGACCCGAAGTGGTCATCCGCCCCTGACGTTATTTTTGCATATGGTTGTCTTTATGGAGGGGCGGAAAATTACTAACATTACAGCTTTGCCATTATATTGAGGATATGCCCCTCCCTATTGGAGCTTTAAGCTTTACAGCATATACATTTACTAAGACAATGCTTGAGTATCTTATGTCATCAAAAAACACAGTTGACATTTATTCTGGACTTGTCTCATAAATAATATTTCAAAAATGGAATTCTATTTGTTTTTTCTTTTTTCTTAAATTTTTATTAAATATAGACCTACTCTTGAACGGTGACTCACGAAGAAACTAAATCACCCGACCTGGGCTCCATCTTCGTTTCCATTAGTGTGGGCTAGGACCGGAGGGTAACCAGCCAACTAGTTATGGGTCGTAGGACAGCCATGTCAACTAAACTACTTTGTAAAATTAAAGACTTCCTCTCAACTCGAATTTCCATCTTATGGAATGTAATCTTATGTATGGAGTGCGATTTATTGATTAACACAGGAGACATTTTAAGACTTTCTCGTGCAATGTTCATCTGGTGAACGGCTGGAAAATGACGCTAGTTCAGTGTAAGTGGGTTGACACTGTCGCTGAAATTCTTCATGGTTGGCCGTGTCTGCTTTGCTGAGTGCACTGGTGGGTGGGTGAGCTCAGATCTACTTTTTAAATAATTTCTTTCTTCTTGCATTTCAAACTTATGAATGTGTGTATGGAGCGTTAAAAAAATCTTTTAGCTTAGTTATCCTGAAATGGAAGCAATCACACCCCAAGCGAAATATATATAAATGATTATTACAGAATTATGCATTTATTTTTTACCAATTTTTTAAATTAATAAATATGTTTTATTTATAATTTAAGAAGACTGTATTAAATGATAAGATTGTCAAATCTCACAGCTGGGAACAGTGGCAAATATCGATTAACTGATTTAAATAGAGTTTTAAATTAATGTAATAAGAAAATGAATAATGGTTTTAATATATTTACGAAGCTTGTCGTTTAAATCAACTTCAGATTGACCACCAATGACGAACATGTGTTAAAAATGTGTTAACATTAATTTCTTAACATATTGATTATGTTAAGTGAACACTGTGATAGAAAGGCTTCGATTCAAGCTAGAAAAAATATTATTGAATGTCTCTGTCTCGAGGGCAGTAATGAGCCGTGGTGTACGTAAGCACTGGTCACGTCAATCAAAGGGGTGTGAAAAGTTATTATTCACATGAAATAAACATATAAATATATAGAGAGATTTAGAAAAGGTGCCTAAATTCAATATGTTCCCCGTGGACATCTTTTTTGTTTGACACGGCTCTGTTAATAAGTGAACAGTTTTTTCTTCTTCTTGCAGAAGCAGATGGTGATATGGAAGGAGAATTTTTGGATTTAAATAAAGAATTGAAACGTGTTAAGTTTCCATTAACTGATGAGAATGGTGATGACTTAAAAGTAGAAAAGGTAATGTAATAGAAAATAGTTTAGATTGCCGTAGTAGCATAGCTCAATATTGATTAGTCCACGGGATCAGAAATCCCTTTTAAAGGATGTATTTAAACTTACTGTAAAGGCTACAAAAGTAGTTGAGAAATCTAATTAACATTTTTTTTTTTTTTGATTTCATTAAATATCAAACTTAAGACATGAATTAATCGAGCTAAATTCAAGAACATAGTTCAAAATGCTGTAGAAAACTTTACATAATAAGTCTATGGTAAGTTTCAAATATTTGCAGTACTCATAAATAATTTAAAAGAATACTCCACATGCAAATGGAAAAAAAATATCAATTTGAATTTATAGTTGTGATTTTTTAAAACTGAACAATTGAAAATACTTTTTTTGAAATATCTTTTCAAACCCTTGCGATCTAGATCTCTAGTAGATTTAAATATATATATATGCCGCAGCTAAAGAATATATAATACCAGAAACTATATATGTAGTTTCTGGTATTATATATTCTTTAGCTGCGGCAACGCAACCATTTAGCGCGTGTAAAATACGGCAAGACGTGCATGATGTAAAATAATAATACCTGATGGCGTGCCATCTATCCACTAACACTTAGTTGTATTGATTCTATGTATCGTGGGTGCAGTGACGGATACTGATACTGTTTTCTTGGGGTATTGACGGTTAGTATTGACATTTAAGTAGGGTTTTTCATTGTACTGACACTATACTACTTTTGAAATGTTTTCTTTTCTGTGCGTTTGGTGCCTACGTGATAAAATGCAGGACGGGGGAAGCAGCGAATCAGACCGTATCACTATGCGCAATAACAGCTGGGCGGACAAGATATATTATTATAGATATTTGTTCTTTTTTGAGCTATATTAACGCTAAGACGGATACATTTTCTAGGACTACAATCACATTCGCTTATGCTTTAATATAAAAAAACAAATGAGTAAAACAAATAAAGGACCAGGAGGGGGTAGTCTTGAATAATGGCATGATATCAAATTGATTGTACTGGTTATATTTTCTCACTGGTTACCTTTATAAATACAAAAAGTTTGATTCTTAAACCCTTTTCTCTTTAGGTTCTTGAAAAGATCTGTCGCAATCGTAATATAAACATTGCAAATTTTCGGGCCTACAAACTGATTGGTAGTCTTAGCTCAGGGGAAACAACTGAATTTAAGAATGACCACCTCATCACAGAATACTCTGATTATTACACTAAAGGATTTATTTCTATAATTCCTCTCAGTAAGTAAGAATTTTTACGTGTTAAGGTTAACCGATTTCAAACAACAAATCTGGAGCAGAGTTATGGCATCTGTGTCTGTTTTCAGGCTGTTTATCGTTAATCCTTATTGAGCATCTTCAGAAATCTGAAGTGTATTCCTTGGCCTGGATCATATGAGAACACCAGACTAAAATCAACTTGGAAAAAATACGATGAAAAACATTCACCAAGGAGCTTTTCAAAAATACACAATGAGAGAAGAAATGTACTACTGTACCCAAAACGCTTTTCATCAATTCTTATGCTTAAGCCTCAGCTCCATAATGTTGATTTAAGCTTCTTTAGCACTATTCAATGTCGTACTATTCAAAATATCAAACAACCTGGAATTTATATCAACATAACAACCTGGTATAGGTTGGTCGTAGCATTATGAAGCATTTTCAAACAATCGCAAATTACTTATAACAGATTATCATCTAGCATGACACCTTTTGAAATACCGACATGTTTGCAATATAGCTCAGGTAGAGTTAACTTTGACAGAAAAGTTGAGATGATAGCGAATTAATTTCATCGACTTAAAAACAACCCAAATATTAATAATTAGATGTGTATGTCTGCATGGCTGTGATGCTGAGTTCAATGGGCGCGCAAAAAATAAAATTAAGAGAAGTTAGCAGTATCACGTGCGTTACTTAAATGCATGTTTGGCACGTAACTTTAGTAGATGGCAAGTTTAAGTACTGCTACCGCCATTATTTTATGGGACATATTTGCATTCGTTCTGTCCCGCATGGACTACTGCAATGCTCTTATGGTGGGCCTTCCCGCTACGCTCCTGGATAACATTCAAAAAGCACAGAAATATGCGGCTCGCATTGTTCTTCGGAAATGCAAATTTGACAATGCAAAAAGACTTCTGAGAGGGTTGCATTGGCTGCCGGTCCGCGCTCGCATAGAGTACAAAATTGCAACTCTATACTACCGCTGCTTACATCAGCTGGCACCATCCAATCTCAAAGCGCTACTGACGCCTTATTTACCCACAAGACAACGCCGTTCATCTGATCGTGGCAAACTCTTGATATCCCGTGTTCGCCTTGAGACTTACGAGGGGTGCACGTTCGCATTTGCAGGCCCAACAAGTTGGAACACCCTTCCTGTCGCTATCAGAAACAGCCAGACACTGGAGTCTATCAAAACTAATTTGAAGACGTATCTAATTCGCAAACACCTGCTGGGGTGATTTTGTCTATCTAGCTATTATCTTTTAGATGTATATTGGCCTGTGTTGTTTATGGTTGCAAAGTATGAAATGCTTAGAATGGGCATTCTTGTATGTAGTTTTTGTAATGTTGTATTTTGTACTTCAATGTGGTATGTACCACGCTTTGAGCCTTTGGGGATGAAGCGTGACTTTCAAATAATCTTTATTATTATTGTTAGTATCTGGTAAAGAAGTAAGGTATTTTGTTACAGGTCAACACGTAAGGTATCTGTTTGTCTCCCCAAGGTTCACAAACAAAGTCAAATACCTTGTAAAAAGCACTTGCCTTTCGAGATTCAAATACTTTTGCGTGAGGCAGCGAACGCTCAGATATTTATCATTCTCAAAACCAAACTTATTGACAAGTTAGACGAATTTAATTCATGAGCTTATATTTATTATATAACACTGTAGTACACTTCAGCAGCGTTTCTCAAACTGAGTTACATGTACCACTTATGATATTGTTACATATGGTGCACAGAGCTTAGATCAAATGGATACGTTCTCAGATTTAACAGCGCATTTCTAAATAAGTAAGACACTTGTATTTGTAGAAGTTACTTGTTGATGTTTCTTGCAAAAAATTATAACTGAATTAAATCCTTGTATTAATATGCAGATTAACATTTTGTTTGATTTAATATACAAATGTACACGTTTTTTTTTTCTAAAGCTTTGTTTTGGTATTCCGTGTGTTCAATTATTTCATGATACTATTTTTATTTTTGTATAACAGATTTAGAAGAAAACCAGGTCAATGTAAAGATTAAATTCCCTCAATCCGACGAAATCAAATTGGTTGTATGGGATTTAAAAAATGGAGAAGGACGTACCTTGAAAGTGAAAGAGGTGATGTGTGACATTAAGAGCATAAATTATACGAGTCTATTACAACATATTGAAATTAAGGCTTGAATCTAAATTTTCAATATAACAACATGTTGTATGATACAGCCTTATGCACAACAAATAAGGCTACGTTGAATAAAGAAACGGTGGTAAATAGTTTCGAAAGCTAATTACATTTGTTCATGATGCATGCAACTAATGCTCATTTTACGTTAAAACCTACGAGATAAAAGTTATTGCTTTGATTTGAAATGCTTACAATTTTTGTTCTTTGAGTAACACATTGAAAAGAAAATTGATAAAATGAGTTTTATTAAAGGAAAGTACTAATGAAATGATAGTTAGTAATGATATAACTTCATTTATCCTGGCGTGTTTTAATAACATAGAACAACAATATGCATATGAAATCTATCAATAAACCGTATCAAAACATGATCTATAATTATGTTTCATCTGTACAGGTCAAAACTCATCAAATAAGCCGACAAGATTTACCCAACCCTGACTTCTTTAAAATGATCGGAACCATCATGGAAACTGCTACCGAGATGTCTGACGAAAGGAATATATCTGACTACAAACATATCTTGCTTTCTGGAACAGTCACATTTGCTCCACGGGTACTTCATTAATGAGAACATGACAAAGAAAACAACTCTGGGCCTTAAAATATTTTGGGAGAAAAAGATATTTTTTTCCCCACAACAGTTTTTCTTGAAATTTAAAATGTTCTTAGCTAGTCACACTATATTTTGTTTCCACTTTCATTGTGTCATCTCTGCTTTCTCCGGACTGAGAAACGAAACAGATCACATACTCGCATAGGTTTAGTGACAGCATGCAAAATTAAGTTCAGTGATGTAATATATGTGACGAGCATACACACCATTATATTAATGGAGAATCGGATATACTCTGAAATAAAAGAAAACCGACAATCATACAATTTTAAATATTAGGTCAGTGGATACTAGGGAGAGAATACTGTACTATTCTAAAGCCTAAATCCCCCCCCCCCCTTCTACAAGGCGAGACATTTAAGACAGCCAAATATGGGTATAACCATTTGTTAAAAACTTGAAAAATATCGACAATCATAACATTTTAAATATTAGGTCAGTGGATACTAGGGAGAGAATACTGTACTATTCTAAAGCCTAAATCCCCCCCCCCCCTTCTACAAGGCGAGACATTTAAGACAGCCAAATATGGGTATAACGATTTGTTTAAAACTTGAAAAATATGACACCATTTTCAGCTTTCCCATCGGATAGGACCCTGACGTCATAATGATCTTCCAGTCGCATAAGGCTGCGAAATGACAAAATAACGGGAACACTTATTAATAAACTACCGTATTTATCGGCGTATAACACGCACAGGCGTATACTACGCGCCATTCGCGCCGCTATACGGTATGTACTATGGGTCCTTAACATTATATCGGCGTATTATACGCGCACATCATTTGCCCCCTATTTTCAAGGAGAAAAGTGCGTCTTATACGGCGATAAATACGGTATTTGTTTTCTTCCATTATTTTATACCCGTCTCGTGTTATCTATAACAATGTTAATTTGCGAGTGTAGTCTTCTTGATAAATACTTAAATAATAACAATAAAAATAAAATAAAAAATAATGTTTTTTTTTTATGTTTCAGCATGCATTTAATACCAGTTTTATCATCATCATTATATTTAAAATATTTTATACAAACATTTTTATGTACATTTTAAAACTATGAATTATGGCAATTCAAATATAACTATATTGTTAACTATTTTGCTAATTTGTTATGGCATGTTTAAAATACAGATTTGTTTCACGTAAATACTATTTTTATAGACCTAGCTATTTGTAATTTTATCTCTATATTATTACATCTATTTCATTTAATGATTTCTTTCTGCTGCATTTTTTAGGTAAGTAAAGTAGTGGATTTTGTGTGATATTATTTCAAAAATGTTAATTTCTTTTATACGTTGGTACATTTACCCTTAGTGCAGTAAGCCAGAAATGGTAGGATTCATATATATTATATATATATATATAATGTAATGTTGTTCGTCCGTCCAAGTCGACAAGGACCATCGAATCATCCGGTTAGGGGCGGGCGGGGGGGGGGGGTTGGGGTTACGGTGGGCTCTTAGGTGGTTTGTTAGACCGATCCTTGCTCGGAATATTCTATGACACCGTGGGCGTGGGATAGTTGCTTCAGGCGATGACCTAATGTTGCTCTTTCAGACAAGCCTGCGTGTCTCAGCTGTGGTTATTCTCTTAGCTTCATGGGATTTAGCCCCCTTCTTGACAGCAGCTCTCCATCTGGCTCTGTCCTGGGCTGTCTGCACCCATTGAGTAGTGTTTATGCTGAAGGCCTTTAGTGCCACTTTCAGTGAGTCTTTGTAACGCTTTCTTTGGCCTCCTTGGGAGCGCTTGCCTATCGTGAGTTCTCCAAAGAATATTTGTTTCGGGAGCCGGTGGTCTGCCATACGGGCTACGTGTCCCATCCAACTATATATACTAAATTTGGCCTGTCATGAAGTATATAAGCCTTCTTTACATTTATAATGCTATGCATAATGAAAGTTTAATTTATAATTAAATGAATGTTTTTGTTGTACGTGAAGCATGTTGCAAAAATTCTGAAGTTGTATTTTATGTAGCCATAATTCAAGCTTAATCTCTATTTTTTTATTAACGCTAATAGTTTGTGTCTCATTAATCTTCATATACCTTCAAAAAATGAATAAATATTATTTTTCAAAGGAACATGTTATTCTTTTATTATTATAGTCTTCTGGTTGCTAAAAAAAACGAAAAAAACAAGAATAACAAAAAAAAAACAACAAAAAGTCAAACAAAAACCAAACTAAATAAGTAATTTTCTAAATGTGGGAAAGAAATACTTTGGGTCCATCTTTCATTGCGTATATTAATATGTATTTTGATATTTGGTTCTAGAAGCTCGAATTTGTGTATTCACCGGGGTTTTCCCAGAAAACAAAAATTAATCACAGGATAAAAGCGTGTTATTTTTAGAATCGGAAATTTTGACTTCACCAAGAGCAACACACATTTGATATCACAAGTGACAAGTTTTAACGGTAGGCCCATATTTAACTTTAAATAATTATTAATCATCACATTAATAGTAACTATTTATTAAATGATTCAAAAAACTAAATATTAAGAACGTAATTTTGGTGTAGACGACTTATAACTCGTGTGTGTTTCGACTACCCTTACAATTACAGTCTGTGTAAGTTAAGTAGTAAGTAACATATTATAAATTTATTTAAATAAATCAGTTGTTGTTTTTACAACTTATTACATTTGAGACCTAAGTTTAGCCTTGTCAAGAAGTACCTATGCCTTCTTTTCTGACTCTATTAACTCTAGGCCTAAGCAAGCTACACAGTTATTACAACCATACTATATTTATATATAATATATGGACTATCGGCTTTGATAGTCTCCATTACTTTCAAACATTTGTGCTCTGCAAGAGATGGTTAGGTCCAACAATGTTGCACTTCTTACTGTGATGCGTAGGCTAAAAATATCACACACACATATATATATATATATATTTATATATATATGTATTCAGAAGCACACTTCCGTTTTTATATATTAAGATTATAAAGTTAATGATTTCTAATTTTATTCTATTGATTTATTACCTTAACTCATCCCAGAGTAAGAAATAAACGTTACAAAAGGTTTAAATTAAAACCAAAATGATTATAAATATGACATTTTAATAATAAATAATTATTAATTGCTGTTATACAATTTGAATGACTTCAATGTACACTAACAATATTAGTCATGATTATAAAGGAGGGGAGATAGGGTTGTGCTATGAAATATTAATTTGTGTCCAGCAATGTCGCCGTCGAGTTCCGCCATGTTGCGGTCGAGTGCAGCCATGTTGCCGTCGAGTTCCGCCATGTTGCCGTCGAGTTCCGCCATGTTTCCGTCGAGTTCCGCCGTGTTTGTGTATCTAGTTAGGGTATTGAACGGCTTTTTTCTTTTTTCAATTTCTTTTTACCCCACCTTTAATCAATTCTGACATTTTGTCCCTTCAAACTATCATGTACTCTAGACCCAAGCCCCATAGCTCCTACCCGTCTAATAATGTCTACACAGCCCGAAATTACCTACACAGCACAATATTACCTACACAATCCCATATTACCTACACAGCCCCATATTGTCTACAATTCCAATATTACAAACACAGCCCATATTACCTACACAGCCCCATATTACCTACACAGTCCTTTATTGTCTAGACAGTCCCATATTACCTACACAGTCCCATATTACCTACACGGTCCCATATTACCTACACAGCCCCATATTACCTACACAGCCCCATATTACCTACACAGCCCCATATTACCTACACAGCCCCATATTACCTACACAGCCCCATATTACCTACACAGCCCCATATTACCTACACAGTCCTTTATTGTCTAGACAGCCCCATATTACCTACACAGTCCCATATTACCTACACAGTCCCATATTACCTACACAGCCCCATATTACCTACACAGCCCCATATTACTTACACAGTCCTTTATTATCTAGACAGACCAATATTACCTACACAGTCCCATATTACCTACACAGCCCCATATTACCTACACAGCCCATATTACCTACACAGCCCCATATTACCTACACAGTGCTTTATTGTCTGGACAGTCCCATATTACCTACACAGTCCCATATTACCTACACAGCCCCATATTACCTACACAACCCTATATTACCTACACAGTCCCATATTGCCTACACAGCCCCATATTACCTACACAGCCCCATATTACCTACACAGCCCCATATTACCTACACAGCCCCATATTACCTACACAGCCCCATATTACCTACACAGCCCCATATTACCTACACAGCCCTTATTGCCTACACAGTCCCATATTGCCTACACAGCCCCATATTGCCTACACAGCCCCATATTGCCTACACAGCCCCATATTGCCTACACAGCCCCATATTGCCTACACAGCCCCATATTGCCTACACAGCTCCATATTACCTACACAGTCCTATATTACCTACACAGTCCCATATTACCTACACAGTCCCATATTGCCAACACAGCCCCATATTACCTACACAGGCCCATATTACCTACACAGTCCCATATTTCCTTTACAGTCCCATATTACCTACACAGTCCTATATTACCAACACAGCCCCATATTACCTAAAAAGGCCCATATTACCTACACAGTCCCATATTACCTACACAGCCCCATATTACCTACAGAGCCCCATATTACCTACACAGCCCCATTTTACCTACACAGTCCTTTATTGTCTAGACAGTCCCATACTACCTACACAGCCCCATATTTCCTACACAGCCCCATATTGCCTACACAGCCCCATATTGCCTACACAGCCCCATATTACCTACACAGCCCCATATTGCCTACACAGCCCCATATTGCCTACACAGCCCCATATTGCCTACACAGCCCCATATTTTCTACTTAAATATGATTACTTTGCATTCTACGCCATTTCCCTATAGCTTTCGTTATTGTTAGTGCATTTTATGTGTTCCCCAAAACTTCTCGTCTTCTCTCCAATGTGTTCAAGAGAAGCTAAAAGGTTGGACACCCCCTGCTGGAAAGTGATCCATTTCGATTTCATTGTTACTATAATTGTTCCTCATCAATGTTTACATTTATCATTTGTTTTGTATTGATTTTTCCTCACAACGCTAACACTTATTCTACAAGGTTTAATATTTCATTTCAGATGGCGGAGAAGGGTAAGTAACATTTTTAGTTTCTTCTGAACCTGTTCAGTGTTATTATATTATTTTTGAAAGTGTTTAGTGTTACTATAAAATTTCTGAAAGTGTTTAGTGTTATTATATTAGTGCCGTCATATGTTAGTTCAAATAATACGATTGTTTATGATGGCATTAAATAGAATGGCAACCTGGAAACAATTTATCGATCTATTTATGTGTACATTATAAAAACAACAAAAAAATAAATAAAAATAAAATAAATAATATTTTGGGACTATAAAAAAAAATAGGCAAGGAAATAAATCTGTCCATTCAGTTGCGCTAAAAATAGAGTAACCTGAAATAACTTAAACATTTAAAATTCGGATTTTTATTACAAATATTTTATATCTGTGAAATATGCTTCATAATTTTAAAAATCTACTGAGAATCAAGAAAGTCTGTTTATTTACCACTCGGTTGAGCACGTTGCATAGCTGCAGCAATGACAGTCTCTTGACCAAGTAATGACAGTCTCTTGACCAAGTAATGACAGTTTGGAGTTTAGTCATTCGCCGTCCATATAAAGGGATAACGGCCGGATGGAATTGACTCTTGGTCTAGTCAGTGAGGAAGTGACATGGGCCTATATGAAGGACTCTTTAGTCAACATACGAGGATGTGACATCTAATATCATATTGGGAGTTGGAAGAAAGTAGCAGACGTGGCATTGTTATAATAATTGGCTCGTTGCATAAAAAAAACACTCTTTCTCTAAATACACATGTTCCAGATTTATTATTGGACAATAATAATATTTCAAATTAAAAGCTGAAAGGCTTTTTAAAAACAATTCATCAAAATAGTGATTGAGACTTCTTCTTTTGAGGCATTACGTCCACTGTATTTAAGACTAAACTTTAAAATGCCTTCGTAATGTTCGTAGTGTCTCTATACACGAGGAGAAATGGGGCAGCCTAGAAGTGGTCCTTAAAATTGTTGTGTCTGGACATTGCGACATATCCAATTTCATCTTATTTCACGCGCCAAACATGTCTTATTACACCTTGTTTTCCTCTTAGTTGAAGTATAAAATGTATAAGCAGCATTTTAAATGACATGATTTTAAAAACTGGCTAGATCTAGTTGCATCATTACAAAAGTTTATATGTATAGAACATTAGTGTTACTAGAAAATTATCCATAGATAACATCACTATTAAGGCCTCTGTATGACAATAAATAAAGGTACAGGGATATAAAACTGTTTGCACATTTAATTTCTGAAAATTATATTTTAAAAGTCAGATTAGACGGTTAATGTTCAAATGTTAGGGTAGAAAATTAAAAACGTGAAAATTCCTATGCATCAAAAATGTCCACAACTGTCCAATGTTGTATGGTGTTGCAGAAGCTGATGCTGATATGATTGAAACATCTGTGGTCTTCCCTGGTCAAACTGAGAAAGTGGACTTACGTTTAACTATTTCCGACGCTAATGGTGATGACCTCTCTGTCAAAGAGGTGAGACTTCCAACGCGATTTTTTTATGTTAAACAAAAAATAAAATGATTTGTTTGTGCAACTTTAGCTTTGCTTGTGATGACTTTTAAGCACAACTTAAACAAACTTTTGAATGTGTTCAACAAGGATATGAAGATGTTATGACTGTGTTCTAGTCGCCTAAGACAGTGTTGTCCAAGCTGTCAAGTTTGACGGACCAGTCGATACATTTCCCATGTCAGCAGAGAGTGCAAGATTTTAAAATTATTTCAGATTTTCATTTTACCCTAATAAGTAATACAATATTTGTAAATCTAGATTATTATTGTCATATTCATTCCATTTAATACCGTTCGTTATATTCTTTGGTTAAAAATGTTTAACGTTATTTAACTTCATTTAATTTTATATCCATGTTCTTGTCTCATGTTTTGCGAACCAGCAACGTAAGGAATGTAGGTCAATCACTTTTGGAAGCAATGGTCTGGTGTTTCAAACTGGTTCAGAATTTAACTCTAATACAAAAAAAACAGAGTTTCCTTAAAATTCCAACATATTTAATTTTCATTTTATTACAAACTGTTTAGGGGTCTTGATAGAGAAGTTCTCAGTAACATAATATATCCAAACAAGACATAATACAAACAAGCTAACACTGTCACAAAGCACCCACGCTGACACTGTCACAAAGCACCCACGCTGACACTGTCACATAGCACCCACCCTTACACTGTCACATAGCACCCACGCTTACACTGTCAAATAGCACCCACGCTGACACTGTCACATAGCACCCACGCTAACACTTTCACATAGCACCCACGCTTACACTGTCACATAGCACCCACGCTAACACTTTCACATAGCACCCACGCTAACACTGTCACGCTAACTATATAAAAAAGCTGACACTGTGACATAACAAACAAGCTGACACTGTCACATAAAAAACACGCTTACTCTATCCCATACAAAACAAGCACCACTCTACACACTTTATATTTAATTATGATATCTTCAAATGACCAGTTAGCTTTCTATTCTCTTTTTACCCCACCTGGAAACTTAACCGTCTACAAATGTTTTCCATTCATCTGGAACTGGTGCTTTTTGTTTTCTAATTGCTTCCACGTGTGTCCCATCCTTCGTCTGTCCCATCCTTCGTCTGTCCCATCCTTCGTGTGTCCCATCCTTCGTGTGTCCCATCCTTCGTGTGTCCCATCCTTCGTGTGTCCCATCCTTCGTGTGTCCCATCCTTCGTGTGTTACATTCTTTGTGTATCCCATTCTTTTTGTTTCCCATCCATCGTGTGTCCTTTCCTTTGTGTGTCCCATCCTTTGTGTGTCCCATCCTTTGTGTGTCCTTTCCTTTGTGTGTCCCATCCTTTGTGTGTCCCATCCATTGTGTGTCCCATCCTTTGTGTGTCCCATCCTTTGTGTGTCCCATCCATTGTGTGTCCCATCCTTTGTGTGTCCCATCCTTTGTGTGTCCCATCCTTTGTGTGTCCCATCCTTTGTGTGTCTGGCTCCTTTATGGCCAATCATAGTGTCTCCATTAAAATTTAATGAAAAAGAAACAGCTGATATTTTTAAATTGAAATTAGACAGTGATGTTCATGGTGTCTATATCTAAATAGGTAAAAAAGCAGCTGTTGGCACTGCAACGCATTGACAATCCTGATGACTACATCATGTTTGCTTCGTCAGCCACCGAGGGCACATCGAAGCTGGAAGATGATGAGCACATTACAGAGTACATGACATATCTTACTAACCAGACAGGCTACTTGTTCTTTAAACCAACATTTTACTAGTTGTAATCAAGTTTTAATGCATGGTTTTTTCTTCTGTAGAAGTTATTTTTGTTTTACCAAGCAGAACTACAGATGAGTCATTCTAATAGACGTTATACTCTGAACAAAAAGATGCATACTCTTTCCTCGGAAAGGAAAATAATCTGTTAAATCACTTTAGCAAAGGGCAGCATTATTCACAATATTCGCCCTCATTAAACACCTGCACCCAAAAAAATTGTTAGTCAATGTTCTCACCAGTAAAACAATGTATGGGCATTCTAACAACAAAATTTCCCATCTTAAGAATTTCGTTTAGATATATTCACACGTAACATGTTAAATATTTTAATTCTGATTTTTACCATGTAAAAATACTTTAAGTTGGGGTGGAGAGGTTAAGGAGATATCAGATAAGTGAAAATAGTAATCTATAAATAGGGTGGAGAGGTTAATGAGATATCAGATAAGTTAAAATAGTAATCTATAAATAGGGTGGAGAGGTTAATGAGATATCAGATAAGTTAAAATAGTAATCTATAAATAGGGTGGAGAGGTTAAGGAGATATCAGATAAGTGAAAATAGTAATCTAAAAATAGGGTGGAGAGGTTAAGGAGATATCAGATAAGTGAAAATAGTCATCTATAAATAGTCCCAGTCATTTCTTTAATATATTGACATGTTTCCAGAACTAGGTTATTTGACGATTTAGTTTTCAATAGATTTGTTTCCAATTCTACACACAAGGGTCTTATTTATGTGATTTACAATGTAATGGGTGATGCACAATCAAATATAGGTTAAAAAACACAACAACATGATATTAAAATTGTATAAATCACTTTTGTGATGTGTTCAGCAGTTTAGAGGACGTCCACAAGTTTAATAACGATTTATGTATTACTAGATATTATATAAGAGAATAGGGTAGATTGACGATTTTATCCCAATGTTAGTCATTAAAATAGACATTATATTTCCAGCCTTAATAATCATTTTTTTCCCAAGTGCCTCATAAGTCTTAAGTTTAAACTATTGTTTTACTATTTAACAACGGAAATGTCCAGAATGGAAAGGTCGATGGCTTATTCCTTAAACAACGATATTAAAATTTTCCAATGACTGTTTTCACCCTTTTCAAATTGCGGTCAAATTGTGACTTTGTATTTTTGCAAACGTTGAGCACAAATTACCTGGTTTTGCATCAGCGGTTTTATACAAAGCAAGACATGGCTACCTCGCTAGTTCAGGGCTGAAAGGGGAATAGCTCTTGGCAGAGGCAAAGAATATGGGGGCCCCTGTTTTTGTTCTTTTAAGATTTTAGATTTGATCTGAATTTTCTCAATCAGTTTCTATCAATGGAGTGTTCATTATTATTAAAAAGATTACAAAGGTGTAAATTTGACAGTTGATATTAAATATGTGTAACATTTTTTACTTAGAAAAGTGCAATGTAATCTTTCCTTATATGTGAGAATTGCTCTCAAATGTGCAATAAAATTTTGTGCAAAGTTTTACTTGCTTAAAAAAAAGAAAAACTATTTCATTTGTAACAATTTGTCTTTCCAAAATGTCGTTTGAATAATCATGAAGATTATTTTTGTTTTTCAAATAAATCATTTAAACATTAAGTATTATTTTAATTGATGAAAACATTATGTTCAACTTTTCATTGGTATTAAAATTTATTTTTAATTTACACAAAATTACAAATGAGCAAATACAAATATCTTGTTTACATTACTTTTGTTATTCGTTGATACAAATTTGAAATTGGGTCTACGAACATTAAAGAATTCCAATTCAGGTTTTGTTGTGTTCTTTGATTTTGACAAGATAGATAACTCACTTTTTTTCCTTCCAATCATTATTTTATTCCAAAATAACAGCAGAAGGAAATGTTCAATTTGATTGATAATTAATTATAGCGATATCCATAGGGGATTGACTGGGGGCTGAGAAGGTTTGTGAACTTTCAACGTGTATTAAAAAAAAAAAAAAACTCCTCTGCCTCTTTTAAATTAGGGACCAGTTTTATTCCAAAATAACAGCAGAAGGAAATGTTTAATTTGATTGATAATTAAATATAGCGATATCCATAGGGGATTGGCTGGGGGCTGAGAAGGTTTGTGAACTTTCAACGTGTATTAAAAAAAAAAAAAAAAAAACTCCTCTGCCTCTTTTAAATTAGGGACCAGGGACCTCGCTGTTATCTGCTATGTAAAAGTCTATACTTCCATGTGTGATTTGAGAGCCCCAGCCGGTGGTGTAGAAAAGAATTGGGACATTTCTTTATATTGTGGGGCTTCTTTATCGGACAGCTGGTGATTTCCTTTCCTGGAAATGGAAGGTGGAGGCAAACAGCACTTGCCCCGCACCGGACCGGATAGGCAGTGTTAGGGTTTCCACATTCAAAATTTCCAGAGAGATATAAATAGCCGATTAAAAGGAATTCCCGATCTTATTGTTTAAGTTACTGTTGTTTAAGTTATCAAACACTTGTAAAATATTTATCAAACTAAAAACATTTGTAAACAATAATAGTTAAATACCCGTCCATCTTATAAGGTAAGAAGGTTATTGTATTGTAGTTAAAGCCACCACTCCTCATTCTTTAGGGAGGGTGCTCATTTTATTTATTTCAGCACTTAAGACACGGTCGACAATTTGTAGACAATGGGAAGGAATGGATGGCATGATTATTTGTGAGGTTCAGTGTAGCTATTGAGTGCATTCACGATACAGTGGCCTAGCCGATAAGCACTAGAAACAGCGAATGAACGGACGCAAGGCAAAATCTGGGGCTGCCCCGCCACAGAAACGGCATTAAATATCATTCACCCATCTTGGTATCAAGGTTGCTAGCCGGACTGTTCCAGATTGAGGTGTAGTACAGTTTGGCTAATGTGCAAACAGCAGGAAAGAAGGCCGGGGCGGGCGGTGTGATGGGGGGGGAGGGGTACAGGCTATCGAACACAGACCGATCAAATGCAATCTTTGCCGAAGGTAAGTTGCCAAAACCAGACTCTGAAGACTCAGATGTGTATAAACTTGTGTCCATTTTGACCCTAACAGACAAGGGTTAGCAAAACTACGGCCTGCGTGCCACAACCGGTCCTCAAAGTAAATTGTGATTTTTGAATTCACAGAAGAATTGGTGTCCATGCGCAACATGCATTCAGCAGCGGGGTAGGAAATTTTCAATGAGTTAGAAATATCCATTGTTCAGTACATTTGAGATTGGTTATTCAATGCATTATTTCTCAACATGCATTATGAGAACATATTTATTTAGGCATTTTTATATAGCGCTTACCATAAAGCTCTAAGCGCCTTACAATTATTAAAAACATGTAAACTAAGTAAAATAAAAATAAGACACTAGGATAGTAAATACTATACTATAGAAACAATGAAAATGGCTATAAGACGAGGACTCTTTGGCACGTTTTGGCCTATACTACAGGATCAACCCGAAACAGAAAATGAGGCAGGGCAAGGAGGGTGCATCACAGGTCATAGGCGGACCTAAACAGATGAGTTTTAAGGGACTTTTTGAAAATGGACGAGGTTTCACAATGACGGATATGGAAGGGGAGCTGGTTCCAGAACGTGGGCCCATGGAAGTAGAAGGAGCGTTCACCGATGTTTTTAGTTTTGGTTCTTGGGATTGAGAGGGTTCTACTGTCAATGGAATAACGTAGTTGTCTTGTGGGGATGTAAGTTCGCAAGAGTTCAGAGAGATAGACAGGAAAGTGAGGGTCAGTGAACGAGTTGAAGCATAGATCGGCAGACTTGTACTTGATGCGAGATGATATTGGAAGCCAGTGGAGTTGCCGCATGTGTGGTTGAATGTGGTCATGTTTCTTTGATTTAAAAATGAGTCTGCATGCTGAGTTCTGTGCCTTCTGAAGTTTGTCTATGTGGTGTTGAGTAATGCCTGCGAGAAGAGTGTTACTGTAGTCAAATTTTGAAAGAATGAGTGAAGAGACGAGAGTTTTTGTGGCATCAAAGGAGAGGAGGTGTCTAATGGTGCTGATTTTTCTAATTTCGTTATATGCTGATCTGTATATACTCGTGACATGTTTGTCCATGGAGAGGGTGTCTGTAAGCGTGACTCCAAGGTTTCTGGCAGAGGGAGAGAGTGTGATGTCAGAGTTGCCAATAGATATAGAAGAAGGAGCGAATGGAGGGAGAGGTTTGTTTTGAGAGTGGATGAGAAGGATTTCCGTTTTATCATCATTTAG